GCGGCTGCATGTCAGCACCTTCTCTCCTCATCTCCCTCTAAGAAAGGAAATCGCAAGAAAACTGTGAAGGGAGGAAAGGTGAGAGGAGCGACCTTCCGCTCTCCTAGCCCCAATAAGCCTGGTTAGTGAGTTTTCATTCATTTGGACAATCAGATCCTGGAACCACAGCCTACCACACAAGGTGGCCCGTAGCTCTAGCCACTAAGCTACTGGACACCCACAATAAGAGAGGATCTCCATGATGTGCAACTGTTAACTGCAAGTGGATGGGTCAGTGGGAGAAACATGCTGGTTGGTTGTGAGGTGTGTGTGTGTGTGTGTGTGTGTGTGTGTGTGTGTGTGTGTGTGTGTGTGTGTGTGTGTGTGTGTGTGTGTGTGTGTGTGTGTGTGTGTGTGCGTGCGTGCGTGCGTGCGTGCGTGCGTGCGTGCGTGCGATTGAAACAGCCTTCTGATCATCCTAATTAGTCTCCGTACGTATAGAGGTTGTTACGGGGTTGTTATACAGAGGGTGTGAGTGACTGTGGGGTTCATCACAACACTCATCTCCTCTGATGTTGTACTGGCTATATGCTCCCTCACGCTCACGCTCACGCACGCACGCACCAACAAGAGCAGGAATCTATGACATGAGAAAAGTATTGCTGGTGCAACGTTATGAGCCCACACGAGACTGTCATCCTGACCCCAAACACAACAGTCTCATGAAACGGCAAAGTGAAGATGGTACCACCTTAATACCGTGAGAGTGGGGGGGGGGGCATACCAGCCACCACAAACACCCCATCACCTCACTCCTCATACCTCACACACCCACACCCTCTCTTTTTCCGGTACCAACCCCTCCCCCTTCTTCCCTCGCCTGAAGGGGAGGGGGGGGGGGAATGTTGCATAAGATCCTCATCAAGAAACTGCAGGAAGGATAGGGGGGGGAGGAGGAGAAGAGGTAAGACGACTATGAGGAGGAAGAGGAGCAGGAGGAACAAAAGGAGGCAGAAGAAAAAAGTTGAAGCAGAAAGAGGGGGAGTGGGAGAGAGGGGGGAGGGGAGAGAGAGAGAGAGAGAGAGAGAGAGAGAGAGAGAGAGAGAGAGAGAGAGAGATAGAGAGAGAGAGAGAGAGAGAGAGAGAGAGAGAGAGAGAGAGAGAGAGAGAGAGAGAGAGAGAGAGAGAGAGAGAGAGAGAGAGAGAGAGAGAGAGAGAGAGAGAGAGAGAGAGAGAGAGAGAGGGGGGGGGGAGATGGTAGGAATGTCTAGCCAGGGACACAATCTCTCCCTATGGACACCAGTTGCCATGATAACAGGTTAGTTGATCTATTTTAAACTCGGAGTATAATACTCCAATGGCCTCTAGGTAGTCTGTGTACTTACCTATCAGTGCTTACGGGGACGTGAGGTCAAGCTCTGAACACACACACACACACACACACACACACACACACACGCACGCGCGCGCGCACGCACGCACGCACGCACAGACGCACCGATATTTGACGACAGAAACAGCCAAGAAAAGTGAGAACAATGAGAGAGAGCATGAGGATGCATGAGGCCGTCTAGGAGACGCAAGCGGGCTGGTGTGAGGAGCACGTGGAGGAGCTCATCACAAGACAACAGTTGAGATAAGCACAAAGGTTCACGCCGGGCGGGAGTGGATTAGCGTAGCGGGCGCGGGACCGCTGCACACTCCACCAGACACAATACCCGTGATGTAATGACATACCAGATACTAGGAGCAACAGTCGGAGTGAACAAAGAACACGGGTGAGTATGTTTACATTGTAGTGACTAAAGGCAGGTAAGATCCAGCTTCTTGTACCCCGACAACTTGCACTCTTGCACCTGTTGCGTTCTAATTCATGTATTCTAATGTTCGAATTCTTTGTCGAATCTGGACTTAAACTTATGGATGGAGGTGGCTTCCACAACTTCTTCTTACAGTGCATTCCCCTTACTGGCCACCTGTACAGGGTACGAGTACTTCCCAGGACTCGTTACCGTGTCCACCTTCCACCTGTGTCCCCTTGTCCTACTTTCTCTCAGTTTGAAGAGGTTGTCCTTGTCCACCTGGTCACCCCTTAGTGCCTTGTACCTTGTGAAGGTCCAGGGCGCGTGGCTGGGACCTGGTCTGTCCTAGGGCACGAGGAGGGTCGGGGCCGAGGGCAGAGGGGAGGATCTTAAGATTATCTTGAGATGATTTCGGGGGCTTAGCGTCCCCGCGGCCCGGTCCTCGACCAGGTCTTCTTTTTTTTTTTACACGCCCTCAGGAAGCAGCCCATAACAGTTGTCTAACTCCCAAGTACCTATTTACTGCTAGGTGAACAGGTGCATCAGGGTTGAAAGAAACTCTGCCCATTTGTTTCCGCCTCCGCCGGAAATCGTGCCCGGAATCTCAGGACTACGAATCCGAAGCGCTGTCCACTCGGCTGTCAGGCCCCTGTGGAGGAGGAGGAGGAGGAGGACTGAGGAAGACAGGAGGTAGGGAGAAGAACGAGGAGTAGGAGGGAGTTGCAGTGAAAGGGAGAGGTATTGAGGATGAGAGAAGCAAGAAGACGTAAGTGAGGCATGAAAGGAAGTAAGGAGAGGAAGAGACATGGAAGGAAGAGAGGAGAGGAAGGGGGAGCCAGTGTGGGTGGCCCACTTCCAGCTCTCTGGGAAACTGTCGCTCTCACTCCCCACCCTCTCCCCTTCTCGCTCTCCCACGTCCCCCTCCCCACTCTCAACCCTTCTCTCATCTCCGATAACCTCCTCCCCTCTCATCTCCCCCTCCCCTCTCATCTCCCCCTTCCCTCCCCTCTCACTCAACACGTCTTCCCACTCCCTTCCCCCCCTCTCACCCCACGTGTCACTCCCCCACTCCTATGGTGACACCCCACACGCAACTCCCACGCTCATGACACCACACCCACGCACACACCTCTCATTAACCCCATTCACACCCCACAAACCTCACTGGACTTGGAAGTAGTCAAAGTCAGCAGGGGTCCCATACAATCCGCCCTAAACCCGGCCTCCTGGAATTATATATTCAACAAGAATGGCTCAAAAGTCCACTAAGACGAGCCATGTGAATATTATCACATGGAGAGGGAGCCTCGTTAACACCACCCTCCCCCCCCCCCACACACACACTAAAAACACCCACGCCAGAAAGGTTGGGGGGGGGGGGAGAGGGGCAACTAAGCAATTGCCAAACCAATAGATGATGTGAATTGCACACCTTCTATATTTTCGAGAGCTAAGGTTGCAAGAGGCGTGCAATCACAATGTTGCTGGAGCACTCTGATACGGTCTTGGGTGCCATGGGAGGCGAGTGGAACGTCTAGGTAATATAAACAGTTGGCCACAAGGTGTCGACAGATGTGACCATGATGTAATATAACAGAGAATCCTCACAAATGGGGGAAAAATCTGGCAAAATAGGAAGCTGTATCTTCCACTTGCTAACAAAGTGAACCCACACAGCAGTAGTCAACCAGGAAAATGTGGACTGCGTGGAAGATGGCCGAGGACCCCAAGACATTACACAATATACACCTCCCCAACCTTATGGTATACGGCAAGTGCTATTATAATTCTTTATCATAGTTATCAGACGATACTAGAAGTATGATGAGTAGCAGTCACGACAGATATGGAAGTTATAATCTACATGTAGAAAACAATAGAGAGAGACTGGATCCAAATCTGCACACATAACTATATCAGTGGTAGACCAAGAGGCCGGTAAGGTGCGCGGACTACCCACTAGGAGAACACGGGTGAACTAATTGCACGAAGAACAAGGAAAAAAAAAAAGAGTCAATTCAATAAGTACAATAAGTACAACGTACAACGAGTCCAAGACTTGTCAACACTCTTGCTACCAATATACGGGACAGTATTACCGACCTGTGTACAAGAAGGAACTTGTACACAGGTCGAAAACGTCCCCAAAGGGTACCAGATCGACCAGGCTGCGGTGCCTACGTTGGACTACAAGTTACAAGGACCTACAACCAGCCCACAAGGGGTTGTAGTACTGGTCCCCCGGAACCACCACCAGGTAAATAAAGACACGCTGACATCTAGTTATCCCTTAATCGTCCTTCCAACCAGCTGTCCACCAATCCTTGCATCTGTGCCCAGTATTCTCTAGGCCCTAGGCCCTAGGGGTATGACATAGTGGCCAGCCCTGACCAGAGGAGCGTGGTGTGCCCTATAAGGCGTCTAGGGCCGGAGACACTCTCCCTGGCCAGTGGTGAGCACTCTTTCATCACAATGAAAGGTTTGGTGGGTACGTTGTTGCTGCGCCACCAAGGGCACGCCACCATGACAGCCGGTGACGGGCACGAGGACCAGGATGGGCAGTGGGAGGAGGATGGGGCAGTGGGAGGAGGATGGGGCAGTGGGAGGAGGATGGGGCAGTGGGAGGAGGATGGGGCAGTGGGAGGAGGATGGGGCAGTAGGAGGAGGATGGGCAGAAGGAGGAGGATGGGGCAGTGGGAGGAGGATGGGCAGGAGGAGGATGGGCAGAAGGAGGAGGATGGGGCAGTGGGAGGAGGATGGGACAGGAGGAGGATGGGGCAGTGGGAGGAGGATGGGACAGGAGGAGGATGGGGCAATGGGAGGATGGGCAGGAGGAGGATGGGGCAGTGGGAGGAGGATGGGGCAGGAGGAGGATGGGGCAGTGGGAGGATGGGGCAGTGGGAGGATGGGGCAGTGGGAGGAGGATGGGGCAGGAGGAGGATGGGGCAATGGGAGGATGGGCAGGAGGAGGATGGGGCAGTGGGAGGAGGATGGGGCAGGAGGAGGATGGGGCAGTGGGAGGATGGGCAGTGGGAGGATGGGGCAGTGGGAGGAGGATGGGGCAGGAGGAGGATGGGGCAGGAGGAGGATGGGGCAGTGGGAGGATGGGGCAGGAGGAGGATGGGGCAGTGGGAGGATGGGGCAGTGGGAGGATGGGGCAGTGGGAGGAGGATGGGGCAGGAGGAGGATGGGGCAGTGGGAGGATGGGGCAGTGGGAGGATGGGGCAGTGGGAGGAGGATGGGGCAGGAGGAGGATGGGGCAGTGGGAGGAGGATGGGGCAGTGGGAGGAGGATGGGGCAGGAGGAGGATGGGCAGTGGGAGGAGACTGGGGCAGGAGGAGGATGGGGCAGGAGGAGGATGGGCAGTGGGAGGAGGATGGGGCAGTGGGAGGATGGGGCAGTGGGAGGAGGATGGGGCAGTGGGAGGAGGATGGGGCAGTGGGAGGAGGATGGGGCAGTGGGAGGAGGATGGGGAACAAGAAACAGGAGGATATAAACATAAAGAACGAAATAACAGATGAGAAGGATAATGAGGAAATTTTCCGAGAATTTTAATTATTGTTGTTATCGTAATTCCTACTATTGTTGTTGTTGTTGTTATTGTAATTCCTACTATTGTTGTTGTTGTTGATGTTATCGTAATTCCTACTATTGTTGTTGTTGTTGATGTTATCGTAATTCCTACTATTGTTGTTGTTGATGTTATCGTAATTCCTACTATTGTTGTTGTTGATGTTATCGTAATTCCTACTATTGTTGTTGTTGTTGATGTTAATTTGCTGTTGTTCCTGTTGTTGCTTCAGCTGTTGTTGTTACTGCTATTGTTGGTGCTGTTGGTGCTGTTGCTGTTGGTGCTGTTGGTGCTGTTGGTGCTGTTGGTGCTGTTGGTGCTGTTCTCCCTGCTGGTGGTGGTGGTGGTGGTGGTGGTGGTGGTGGTGGTGGTGGTGGTGGTGGTGGTGGTGGTGGTGGTGGTGGTGGGGGGGGGTGAGGTGTGACGGACCACAATAATAATACATCACAAACAGAAGAGTGGAAGGTGGGGAATACTCACACCAGAGAAAGTTGTGAGGCTATGAGCGGGTCTTTATCCTCACTTACAACCACCACCACCTGCACTCACAACCACCACCACCTGCACTCACAACCACCACCACCACCTACACTCACAACCACCACCACCACCTACACTCACAACCACCACCACCTACACTCACAACCACCACCACCTGCACTCACAACCACCACCACCTGCACTCACAACCACCACCACCACCTACACTCACAACCACCACCACCACCTACACTCACAACCACCACCACCTGCACTCACAACCACCACCACCTGCACTCACAACCACCACCACCTGCACTCACAACCACCACCACCTGCACTCACAACCACCACCACCACCTACACTCACAACCACCACCACCACCTACACTCACAACCACCACCACCTACACTCACCACCACCACCACCTGCACTCACAACCACCACCACCTGCACTCACAACCACCACCACCACCTACACTCACCACCACCACTACACCACCACCTACACTCACAACCACCACCACCTGCACTCACAACCACCACCACCTGCACTCACACCACACACCACCACCACCTGCACTCACAACCACCACCACCTGCACTCACAACCACCACCACCTGCACTCACAACCACCACCACCTACACTCACAACCACCACCACCTGCACTCACAACCACCACCACCTACACTCACAACCACCACCACCTACACTCACAACCACCACCACCTACACTCACAACCACCACCACCTACACTCACAACCACCACCACACACCAACCACACCACTGCACTCACACCACCACACCTACACACCACCACCACCTGCACTCACAACCACCACCACCTACACTCACAACCACCACCACCTACACTCACAACCACCACCACCTACACTCACAACAACTCCCCCTGCACAGAGATACAAGAACAACGCACACAACAGTCAGGTTGTTCACATGACAATTGACATAACCTTACAGACCATGACCGTCCGTGTCCCCCCTCCCCCTCCCCCCCCCAACCCCCTTCACCACCACAGACGGTGTGATTGAGAGGGAGGGGGGGGGGTTTGGGGAGAAAAGTAGGGGGGGGGCGTTGCGTCATTTGTGACCCTGGCATCCTCCCCCCTACCCCCCACGCTCCCCCTCCTACGTGTGAAAGTCCCCTCTCCTCCTATCTGTTACCTCCTACTCTCACTCACAAACCCCTCTCACAACCTCCTTCCCTCTCTCTCGCTCACTCCCTCTCCCCGGGCTCCCTCATTCCATCTCCTTGGGCCCCTCCCTCATTCCATCTCCTTGGCCCCTCCCACATCCTTGCTTCTTCCTCCACTCCCTCATTTTCCTTCCTCCTTCGACACATGACTTCCCATGAACTAGGAAAAAATGGATTCGAAGAGGAAGTGGAGTGTGTGTGTGGGGTGGAGGGGGGGGGTGAGTGGAGGCGGGTGTGGGGGGGGGGGAAGGAGAAAGTGGAGGTTGAGAGGACACGAAGGAGGAAGAAACTGAAGGGAGGTGAATGAACATAACTAACCTTGGAGGTGTGTTAAGATGGATGACCAAGTTGGCCTAGGAGTCCCGCACACCGCCGGGTACAGCCAGCCTAACTGATCGTACTGGCCAGGAGCCACGACCCTCCAGGAGCCACGACCCTCCAGGAGCCACGACCCTCCAGGCACCTCACCCCCATCTGGCTACACACACAAAATCATCACTTTCCCCTAAAATCACCTTTGATAAACGTATGATGGAGCGAAAATGTTGTTTACGACACAATAACCTTATATCTCTCTACACCAGAGTAATGGGGAGATAATAGGTGGATACGGACGGACTAATAGGCAGTAATAGGGAGGCCAAACAAACCAACACAAACAACAACACGAAACAAAGCATGCAGATGACCAGAGTCCGGTCTTGGGGCAAGAAGGATGTAAACACCGCTTAGAAAATAGGAGTGTGGCTGTGTGGAAGAGGTTGGTGGTTACCTCGGCCCCCAGGGGTCGCTGCAGTGTTGGAACCCCTAGGCTCCACACATGTATGAGCAGGTGTGTATGAGTATGAGTAGGTGTGACTGTGTGTGAGTAGGTGTGGCTGAGTATGAGTAGGTGTGGCTGAGTATGAGTAGGTGTGGCTGAGTATGAGTAGGTGTGGCTGTGTGTGAGTAGGTGTGGCTGTGTGTGAGTAGGTGTGTATGAGTATGAGTAGGTGTGGCTGAGTATGAGTAGGTGTGGCTGAGTATGAGTAGGTGTGGCTGTGTGTGAGTAGGTGTGGCTGAGTATCAGTAGGTGTGGCTGTGTGTGAGTAGGTGTGTATGAGTATGAGTAGGTGTGGCTGAGTATGAGTAGGTGTGGCTGTGTGTGAGTAGGTGTGGCTGAGTATGAGTAGGTGTGGCTGAGTATGAGTAGGTGTGGCTGTGTGTGAGTAGGTGTGGCTGAGTATGAGTAGGTGTGGCTGTGAGTGAGTAGGTGTGGCTGTGTGTGAGTAGGTGTGTATGAGTATGAGTAGGTGTGGCTGAGTATGAGTAGGTGTGGCTGAGTATGAGTAGGTGTGGCTGTGTGTGAGTAGGTGTGGCTGAGTATCAGTAGGTGTGGCTGTGTGTGAGTAGGTGTGTATGAGTATGAGTAGAGTATGAGTAGGTGTGGCTGAGTATGAGTAGGTGAGGCTGAGTATAAGTAGGTGTGGCTGTGTATGAGTAGCTGTGGCTGAGTATAAGTAGGTGTGGCTGTGTATGAGTAGGTGTGGCTGTGTATGAGTAGCTGTGGCTGAGTATAAGTAGGTGTGGCTGTGTATGAGTAGGTGCGGCTGAGTATGAGTAGGTGTGGCTGCGTATGAGTAGGTGTGGCTGCGTATGAGTAGGTGTGGCTGCGTATGAGTAGGTGGGGCTGTGTATGAGTAGGTGGGGCTGTGTATGAGTAGGTGTGGCTGAGTATGAGTAGGTGTGGCTGTGTATGAGTAGGTGTGGCTGAGTATGAGTAGGTGTGGCTGTGTATGAGTAGGTGTGGCTGAGTATGAGTAGGTGTGGCTGTGTATGAGTAGGTGTGGCTGAGTATGAGTAGGTGGGGCTGTGTATGAGTAGGTGTGGCTGAGTATGAGTAGGTGTGGCTGTGTATGAGTAGGTGTGGCTGTGTATGAGTAGGTGTGGCTGAGTATGAGTAGGTGGGGCTGAGTATGAGTAGGTGTGGCTGTGTATGAGTAGGTGTGGCTGAGTATGAGTAGGTGGGGCTGTGTATGAGTAGGTGGGGCTGAGTATGAGTAGGTGTGGCTGTGTATGAGTAGGTGGGGCTGTGTATGAGTAGGTGTGGCTGAGTATGAGTAGGTGTGGCTGTGTATGAGTAGGTGTGGCTGAGTATGAGTAGGTGGGGCTGTGTATGAGTAGGTGGGGCTGTGTATGAGTAGGTGGGGCTGAGTATGAGTAGGTGGGGCTGAGTATGAGTAGGTGGGGCTGTGTATGAGTAGGTGGGGCTGAGTATGAGTAGGTGGGGCTGAGTATGAGTAGGTGGGGCTGAGTATGAGTAGGTGGGGCTGAGTATGAGTAGGTGGGGCTGAGTATGAGTAGGTGTGGCTGAGTATGAGTAGGTGGGGCTGTGTATGAGTATGAGTATGAGTAGGTGGGGCTGAGTATGAGTAGGTGGGGCTGAGTATGTGTAGGTGGGGCTGAGTATGTGTAGGTGTGGCTGTGTATGAGTAGGTGTGGCTGAGTATGAGTAGGTGTGGCTGTGTATGAGTAGGTGTGGCTGAGTATGAGTAGGTGTGGCTGCGTATTAAGAATAAACTAAACTGCAGAAAGTATGTTGGACCATCTTCAGGTTATCTTGAGATGATTTCGGGGCTTTTTAGTGTCCCCGCGGCCCGGTTCTCGACCAGGCCTCCACCCCCAGGAAGCAGCCCGTGACAGCTGACTAACACCCAGGTACCTATTTTACTGTTAGGTAACAGGGGGCATAGGGTGAAAGAAACTCTGCCCATTGGTCTGAGAGCTTGTATTAAGTTTGAGCGAGGAGGAGGAGGAAATTAAGAAGAAGGGGTCATTTAACATATCAGGAAATGAGATCATATGGAAGTAAGGGGAGGGAAATTATCTCCATTCCCCTCTCTTCATTCCCCTCTTTCATCAGCCGTCCTCCACACCCCACTTTCTTCTCAACTCTCATCATAATCAACCCATACGCGGCTGAGGCTCTTCATTCCCCCCCCCCTCCCTCACAGACAAATACTGCTCCCTCACACATCACAGTGAGGTGCTGGAGTCCCTCACACCTCACAGTGAGGTGCTGGAGTCCCTCACACCTCACAGTGAGGTGCTGGAGTCCCTCACACCTCACAGTGAGGTGCTGGAGTCCCTCACACCTCACAGTGAGGTGCTGGAGTCCCTCACACCTCACAGTGAGGTGCTGGAGTCCCTCACACCTCACAGTGAGGTGCTGGAGTCCCTCACACCTCACAGTGAGGTGCTGGAGTCCCTCACACCTCACAGTGAGGTGCTGGAGTCCCTCACA